TTTTCTTTTCTTATAGTAAATACCCTGTATATAAATGATTGCAAATGGAATGTAAAAATTGAATAAAATATTTTACACGATTAAGACTTATATACCGCTTCATGGTGCTTCACAGCCTTCTCTAAGCGGTTTACAGGGTCAGCATATTGCCCCCAACAATCTGGGTCAAATGGACAAAATTTCAGCTGGACTCTCTCACAGTCCTGCTTTATTTGAATCCAGCTTATAATGTACCACTATGGCTGCCTTCATATATAAAGCATGCCAAATGAATTCTTAGCACAACATCCAGAGGTGGTATTCAACCAGTTCGGATCGATCCGCCCAAAGCGGTAGTGGAAATAGCGGGCGGGCCTGCCCACCTGCCCCAGCTCTATGCCATCCTGTTTAGGCACGCTTTTGAGGCCAGGCGCATGCAGGGAAAGCGCGTGTGTGAGCAAAGTGCAAGCACAGAAGTCCGGGCACATGTGCAGAAGGCGCAGGTATGCCTGTTTCGTGCGGGCGTGTGTGTGAAGCGGGAGGGCACGTGGGTGGCGAATCGGTGGTAAGGAAATGTGCAACTCACCACTGACAACATCTCAGTCTAATATCTAAGTCCCTTAAAAAAGATGATTTCCTGTTTTCCTGGGAAGTCATGCAATCCTGAAGGGGAGAAGTAGCATTGTTTCACCTATAGATGGAGCCAGAGATCCAAGCCCTGTCTTTGTCCATCAGCATCTGCAATCAGATCTGTTGAAGCTGATGAGGTTCTATTAGTTAGGAACAATCCCACCATTTCCAATAGAAGACAGGAATTACCAGTTCAAGCCTCCTTAGGCAGAAATCAAACCCACGTCCATGAGGAATGCTATGGGTTGACAAAAATCCCTTCCCTCCCTTGCTACAGGTTGGCCTCACTTAACAACCAATCACTTAGGGACTTTTTCAGAGTTATGACGGATCCCCCCAAAGGTACAGGCAGTTTTCGACTTACAACAGTTCACACTGAAAAAAGTGACTTATGACCATTTCCCCACTTATGACCATTGCAGCATCCCCAAGATCATGCGATCAAAATTCAGATTGGCAACTGATTCATATTTATGACGGCTGTAGGTTTCCGGGGTCATGTGATCCTGTCTTGCGACCTTCTGACAAGCAAAGTCAATGGGGAAGCCAGATTTGTTTAGCAACGCTGTTCCTAACTTAACAACTGCAGTGATTCACTTAACAACTGTTAAGTGCAGGAAAAGTGCTAAAATGGGACAGCATTCACTTAAATGTTTCACTTAACAACTTAAATTTGGGGCTCAATTGTGGCCGTAAGTCAAGGACTACCTGTATTTATGATCCAGTTCTGGAGTTCCAACGGTTGCATGCATTATAACCCGCTGTTATGTGATTTCATTTTGGGCATTTGGCAACAGGCTTACATTTACAGCTCTCTGTAGTGTCCCAAGATCATGTGACTTCAATTTTTGATGTTTTTGTCCAGTTTCTGGTGTTTACTTCCAGTTTCTGGCAAAAAAACCCCACTCACTGGATAAAGTCATTGTTTTAATGACTGCTGTGTTTGCTTAATGACCACAGTGCTGCAGAAAAGGCCATAAAATTGGGTGCAGTCACATGGTGACCTGTTTAACAACAACCACAATTTGCGACCATAATTCCAGGCTCAGTTACGGTGGTAAGTCGAGGATCCCAGATTGTTGGGGGCAATATGCTGACTCTATAAACCGCTTAGAGAGGATTGTAAAATACTATGAAGCAGTATATAAGTCTGAGTGTTATTGCTATAGCAGGATAATTCTGCCGACTGTCAGGAGTTCAATGCTTTCGATCCTGACCAGCTCAAGGTCGGCTCAGCCTCCCATCCTTCTGATGTCAGTAAAATGAGGACCCAGATTATTGGGGGCAATATGCTGACTCTGTAAACCGCTTAGAGAAGGCTGTAAAGCATTGTGAAATGGTATATAAGTCTAGAGTGCTATTGCTATTCCCTGTATGTCTGATGAGTCCCAATATAGGAGGAAATTAGTCACATACTGCCTCCTAGTGAGCAATATAAGTAGAAACACCATGTAGGACACATAACACTATGCAAAAATAGAGAAACTTCCTACACCACCCAAAAGCAGGACGGAAGTGTGTAAAAACCTTGTATGCAGGGAAATGTTCAGTGGTGGTATTCTCCCGATTTGCAGCAGTTCGGGCAAACTAGTAGTGGCAGCGGTGCGAGGCTCCGCCCATCCACCCAGACATCATCACGGACCTTCTGCGCATGAGCAGAAGGTTCTGCGCATGCACAGATGTGCCCTGGGCGAACGAATTACCATTAGCGAACTGGTAGTGAAGATAATAGGATACCATTACTGGACATGTCCTCATGTAACATCCACAATTCAGTGCTCTGAAAAGTGGACTGCATATACCATCCCTTGAACAAAATGACCACACAAAAAAAAATAACGTAAGCAAACCTTCACACTCTTCTTACCTATTGTTATCCACAAGGTATTGCACAATTTTATCAAGCACCCTCTCGATCAGGGCGGTGCGCACCCATATGTGCTTGATGGCTTGTGGGGACAAAGAAGAGGGTTTGTTTGTGGTTGAAGCTTGCCTCTTCAGGGATTCTTGGCCAGCTGGCTGGTATTTTCTGTTGGGGGGGAGGGAAGCAGAATCCACATCAAAGGTTGTATTTGCAAGATGTACACACTCTTATCTCCAAATACTGGCAGAGCACTGATGCCCCAGTCTCAGTCACCACAAAGGAGGCTCCAATATTATCGATTTCTATTTCATTTTAATTTTCCCATGGTTATTATTAACTATCGAGAACAGTGTTTCTCAACCTTAGCAACTTTAAGAGGTGTGGACTTCAGGAGACCATCTGGTCCTAGGCATAAAAGCCGGCTGGATGATTTTGAGCCAATCACCAGGTAACCCGTGAGTTCTAGTCCCGCCCTAGGCATGAAAGACGACTGGATGACTTTGAGCCAATCAACAGAAAACTGTGAGTTCGAGTCCTGCCCTAGGCATAAATCGAGCTGGGTGACTTTAAACCAATCACCTGGCAACCATGATTTCTAGTCCTGCTCTAAGCATAAAAGCCAGCTGGATGATTTTGAGCCAATCACCAGAAACTGTGAGTTCTAGTCCCACCCTAAGTATGAAAGCCATCTGGATGATTTTGAACCAATCACTAGGCAAGTTCTAGTCCCACCCTAGGCATGAAAGCCAATTGCGTGTCTTTGAGCCAATCACCAGAAACTGTTGAGTTCTAGTCCCGCCTAAGCATGAAAGCCGTTTGAATGATTTTGAACCAATCACCAGGCAACCTGAGTTCTAGTCCCGCACTAGGCATGAAAGCCGACTGGGTGACTTTGAGCCAATCACCAGAAACTGTGTGTTCTAGTCCCACCCTAGGCACAAAAGCCGACTGACTTTGGTTCATTCCCTCTTTCAGAGCCCAACCCATCTCACAGGGTGGTTGTTATGCTGAAGATTGGAAGAGGATGTGTTTATTGCCTTGAGTTAGTCATAAATAATAGTAAAGGTGGGATATCAATAAATAAATATCCTGGAATAATGCCGAATCTGCTAAGCAGACTTCATCCCTTTGCTGGCCACTGAAAGTGAACAGAGGCAATAACTTAACAAACTTTATCATATATATTGAAGATACACAAGAAAATAAGCTATTCTCCTCTGCACCATATATAATGTGATGGTTCCAATTATGCCTGTCTGCCAGAAGAAAATCTGCCAGGCAGGGCAGCCTAAGTAAATGTTTTAGTTTGTCTCTCTTCATCATGAATTGTCTCTATCTTTGGCCGTTGCTATGTAAAACCCAGCCACAAAGTGGTGGAAAACCAAGTTTAAGAGGGAAGAGCAGCCAAAAAAAACCCTAGCGGTTTCACTGGCACAGGCAGCAACTTTGCTTGCCATTTCAACCAATTCCTTTCACAGCCAACTCAATCAGCTGCTTAAATGGTGAAATGTCACTAAGGGAGGGGAAAAAATCCATATTTTTCCAAAGTGTTTCCTGACCACCCAAATGGCCATGGGCAAATTAGTTTAAAAAAAATTGAAATTTGGAGGGAAGGGGAAAATAAAAACAAAACGTCTGGAAAATCATTTCCTCCCTCTTCTCATTACCCAGTCAAAAGGAGGAAAAGAGGATCTTATTTTTTCTCTACTACATCCGATTCTCACTTAATATAAACTAGTGACCTGAACAGAGACGGAAACACAGTCGGAAAGCCGAACCACCTGCCTACATTCTCCCCGTTGCTTACAGATGATCTGCAAAGGAAAAGAAGAAATGGACAAGTTCCCTTTGGAAGCTCTTTGTGGAAATTGAATGTGCAAAGACATAACTTGGATCTCAACTTAAGAGACACAGAAGTGAATAAAGTCAACGTGATCCCCAAGGGATTTTTTTTTTTTTTTTTGCTAAATTGGGGAGAAAAGGGAAGTTGCCAAGTTTGAAAAACGCACATCCAGAGCAATCTTTTTCCAGCCTTCCACACGGACACAACATAATAGTTCAATGCGGGCTTATGGAAAGTGGTGAACTAGAAGGCACCGCAATGAATCTGTTGATGTAATGCATTGTTTATGTTAAGAGAGATTCAAGCACCAATTTGGACTAAATGCAGTGGTGAGATCCTACCAGTTTAACAACCGGTTTGGTGGTCACTCGTTTCACTCAGGCATGTGCCTGACGTGCGCTGCGCGCATGTGCACAATTTTGAGAAAAAGTACCTTCCATATTACTGCTGGGGAGGAAAACAGCTGAGGAGCAGCAATCCGCTTTGCCGCGCGACTCAGCTGAGAGGATGCAGGTGAGTTAAGGGTAGGGGGGGGTGAGCATCGTCGGAGCAAAGTTCGCTCCCATCTGATGGTTGGCGCTAACGGTTCGCCTGAACCAGTCACAACTGGTAGAATTCCACCCCTGGTTAAATGTATTTATTTAACTACCAAATTTGGAAACCGGCCATCTCCCTCACAGAGCAAAATTATTAGAGATTTTGGACCAAGGTTGATTCTAAAGCCTCTGGAAGATATAGAGCGATGATGAACTCAAACATGAAGGTCTACCATGAGCTTTAGGAGACACAGTTGAAAGAGAAATTACTGCATTTTTTGGAATATAAGACGCACCTTCCCCCACCCAAAAGAAGTGGGTGAAAATCTAGGTGTGTCTTATACACTGAATACAGCATTTTTGGTCTCCCAACTCGCACATTCCGTTTTTCACAAAAATGGGTTTGGGAGTCCTGCAGAGTTCCTGGGGGCTGAGGAGGGCAAAAACAAGTGAAAATGGGCCCGTTTTTCACAAAAACGGGAATGTTTTGCCCTCCCTAGCCCCCAGGAGCACTCTGCAGGCCCCCCACACCCTCTCCATGCCCCGTTTTTCACAAAAAGCAAGGCGTGCAGAGGGTTTGGGCAGGCTGCAGAGTGCTCTTGGGGGCCGGGGAGAGTAAAACTTTTTTTTTTTTTAATTACCTCTTCCAAATCTTGGTGCATCTTATACTCCAGTGAGTCTTATAGTGCAAAAAATACGTATGTGGACAGCATTAGCCAGATAGTCCTTGACTTATCACCAGTTGCTTAACAACTGTTCTAAGTTATGACTGACCGGAAAAAGGAGACTTACTACCGAAATTTCAGACTTCTGATGGTAAGACCCTCTCCATGGTCACATGATTGAATTTCGGGCACTCAGCAAAATAGCTGCATTTGCAGCTGTTCACTGTGTCCTGTGGTCACGTGACTGGGTCTTACAATGATTTTGCCAAAAAACAGCACTTACTTCCAATTTTCAGAAAAACTGTGGTGTTGGTTTTGTTTTGCTTAATAATTGCAGGGTTTGCTTAATGACCACAGGGTTTGATTAACGATCGCTGCAAAAGAAGTCATAATTTTATGATCGCTACAACAAATGACCCTCATGGACAGGCTCCACAAAGGTCGTATGTCGAGGACTTCTTATATTGGATTAATAATGGTCAGATGATTTTCTCTTCCCTTACTGTACTGTACTTACTGTACTTTTCCCAGGAATCATATGTAACTTGGAAAAAAAATTAGCTCATAATGCCAGGAGAACAATCTTTCATTTTATTTTATTTTTAGATTTTGAGGGCACTGGGACAAAGAGACTAAGGATTGGATGAAACTAATCAAGGAGAGAAGCAACCTAGAACTAAGGAGAAATTGCCTGATATTTAGAACAATTAATCATTGGAACCACTTGCCTCCAGAAGTTGTAAATGCTTCAACACTGGAGGTTTTTAAGAAGAGATTGGGCAGCCCGCTCTATGAAATGGTATAGGGTTTCCTGCCTGAGCACGGTGGGTTGGACTAGAAGACCTCCAAGGTCCCTTCCAATTCTGTTATATACCAAAGAAATATGATGGGCCCTATCCATAATGCTCTGATCCTGGAATTATCTCATTAAAAATAACCATGGTGGCTACAGAGAGTGCAAGATCCATGATTATAATACCATACAATACAATAACAGAGTTGGAAGGGAAGGGACCTTGGAGGTCTTTTAGTCCAACCCCATGCCTAGGCAGGAAACCCTATACCGTTTCAGATAAATGGCTATCCAAAATCTTCTTAAAGACTTCCAGTGTTGGGGCATTCACAACTTCTGGAGGGAAGCTGTTCCACTGATTAATGGTTCTCACTGTCAGGAAATTTCTCCTCAGAAATTTCTCCTCAGTAATCATCTCTTCCAGTTGTGCCCCCAAAGAGTGGGATGATCCATCTCCAAATGGTGAGCAGCCTGGAGCATCTGACTGGCCACTAGGAAAAAACACACATGAAAAACGAGTGTCACCCTCACCTGCCTTCAGCCTGTTGCAGCAACTCCTGCACTTTCTTGCATATCTCACTGGCCACGTCATAGGTCTTGCCAACCTTGGTGAAAAGTGCAGCGATCTTGTCCGTCCGCAAGAAGCCGGATGCCCGACGCTTCAGCATGTGGAGAAGGCAAATTTCTACCATCCCTGGGAGAGGAAAAAAAAAACAGAATACAAGGCCAGTGAGCCATAGCCTCTTGTAGCAGAAACTCATATGTAAATCATAGAATAAATGAGTTGGAGGGGACCAGTGGTGGGATTCAGCCGGTTCGCACCTATTCGGGAGAACCGGTTGTTAACTTTCTAAGCAGTTCAGAGAACCGATTGTTGGAAGAAATCTCCTTTTGCTTTTTTCCCACTTTACAGGGCTAATCCTGTAAGGAAGACGTGAAGGAAAAATTCTGGTGTTGTTTCTAGCCTAATCTTTATTGCCCTGCTTTCAGAAACTACCTCTCCGCTTAACCCTTATCACATTGTAACAGCTAAGACGAAGCGCCCATCGACTTGAGTGACGTTGAGTTGGCCACACCCAACCAGTCACATGACCACCGAGCCATGCCTACCTAGCTGGTCATTAGGGCAGAGGACCGGTTGTTAAATTATTTGAATCCGACCACTGGAGGGGACCCTGGAGATCATCTAGTTCAAAACCCCTGCTCGAGCA